CAGCACGCGGGGCTGTTCAGAGGTCTGAGCTATCTGGAGTCTGCTGGAGGCGAGAGAAGTGGTGCCCTGCTGAACCCTCCTCAGTGATAGGGTCTCAGGGAGTTTGCCCTTATACACATCTAGATGTGTATAAGAGACAGGCACGGCTCCGAACAAGTCCACGCCCACATAGGCACCCCCTGCACGCCGTACTCCGCACCGCACTGCACAAATGTGCGGCTCTTGCGGTTGCAAGTATGCTATCCACTGTCGAAACATAGACATGGGTTCGAATCCCGATGGAACCAGACAAGTAAAAATACCTTTGAATTTACCTGGGGCCAGTCAGTTCAAACTTCAAAGATGATATCTCAAGGCTGTCGCCCTTGTTAAAAAAAAGAAAACGAAAAAGAACAAGTCCATTTGCTTGCGCTGGGGATTCGATATCCCAGCTATTTCAAGGAGATCAAGATGAAGGGCAGTTGCTGTGAACAAATGAAGCAATATTTTAATGTCTTCTGAACTTCTTGCCTTCACTGGCAGGCTAGCAGCAGATATTCAGATGGGGATTGAGCTGAAGCGACGTCCATCGGAAGAGAGGACAATATTTTCTTCCCAATCCCTTTCCCTCTTTCTTTGTCTGTCAAAGAGAAGAAGAAACGGCAAAGCTGCAGCTGGACTGGAGACAGACACACCTACTGGCGAATACAGTCAGAAGGCCTGGGGGAGGACTGGGTACTTTAGTTGGCTTTCTCACCCCCCCTCATGCTCGGCCTCCTACCCCTGCACTCATACCAGATAGCACTGTTTGGGAGATGGACCGGGCTACACCTCTAGAGGAGGAGAGAACAGGTACTTGATCGAGTCCCTTGCCCTTTCCCTCAAGGATCCCACACTCCCGCCCTTTCCCTCAAGGATCCCACACGCCCGCCCTTGCCTGATCAATTCCTTTGTACTTCACTGCATGCCGATGACAAGGAAATGTACTGGCCATCCCCCAGAATATACAGGGCCCTGTGTGTTGTTGTCGTTGTTCTGAAAAAGAAAAGGGGAAATTTTGATGACGGCTGGAGTCATTGATACTCACATGGCTGGTGTCCTCCATCAAGTAGTTCGCCTCATATGTGGCATATGAGAAGTCACCATGCGTAGTTCGCTTCATTGCCTGCCGAACAGGGAGAAACACAACGAGAAGAGAACCTTCAGGTCTGTTATTCTAACTTATTCATCATCTCAAAGAGTACCATATGCGTGTGTGTGTGTGTGTGTGTG